AGTAGAATCCTTTAATTCTTACACTTTGGCCCTGGAAAAACTACTCCACTAAAAAGTGCAGCAAGGGCAAGGCCTAGATCTGATGTAAAACCCCAATTCAGGAACGAAAGCTGGAGAAATTAATAGATTAAACACTGAGCAGCATAAAAAATTATCACAAATCTAAAAATCCCAAAAGAAGGAGAGAGTAATTCCACAACAATTTCAAGCAGAGACTCAAAGGAAAAAATAGATCTTCCACAAGAACTATATGAAATGAAATTGAAATAAATGAAGCAAGATATTAAAATGAAATAAAAGCACTAGGTAAAGAACTAAAAGAAGCAATAAATAGTTTAAAAGAGAAAATGGTAAACCTTACTTTAGAAATGAACTCCTTGAAAACAAATGGAGGAGACAAATCAATTACTCTAGGAGATAGCAAGAAATATCAAAACAAAATCAAGTGATTAAAAAACAGAATAAAACATATCTCTTATAAAAAACAACTGACCTAAAAAAACATATCAGGAGACATTATTTAAGAACAGCTAGATTCCCTGAAAACCATGATTATTTTTTAAGAGCCAAAACATTATATTTCAAGAGATCATAAATTAAAACTGCCCAGGTTTATTAGAACCAAAGGGGAGGGAGAAGGGCAGATAGAAAGTGTCAAGATATTAGGAGACACCCTGTTTTCCAGAACTAAGGCCCAGCAAGCAAGCTGTGCCCAGAGCTTGGTATCACAACATTCCTTTGCATTCACCTTCTGGATGATCTCAGCCACAGCAAAATCCCAAAATTGATTCATATAATTATTGTATTGACTTGACCATGACCAGGTGTTCTCTGAGCTTGGACAAGTCCCTGCTGTATTCATCTTCCCTACTATGAATCAATAGTTTTCTAAGTTAACATGCAGCCAGCAGAGATCCTTATATACAGTTTAGTGATCCCTGTTTCCATATGAGTTTGACACCACTTCTCTACAGGACTTATGATATCATGATACCCATTTCCTGACAGGTGATGGACACAAGATGCAGACTGGAGCAGACATTTTTGAACATATGGATTTGTGGATTTGTTTTCCTTGACTAGGCTTATTTGTTACAGGAATTATTTTTCTCTTTCTCTCACTTTTTAATGCAACAAGGGAGGGGTGTCAGGGGGTTAGCAAAAATGATTAAAAAAACTATTATAACAGTTTTTTAAATGCTCAGAAGATAACATAAGGAAATTCAAAAGGAAACAAGCAAAACAATTTTGAAAGTATAGAATTATACTTTAAAAAAAGTTGTGCAAGTTGAAGATTCAAAGTTTCATATAGAATCATCTTTTTTTCTTCTGTGTGTATGGAAAGGCTCTGTGTGTGTGTTCAAAATTTTAAAAAAGAAAATTTAAGAAAAAAACAGAGAAAAGCAATTGGGGAGGCGGGGAGTTGTCAGCTGAGTGAGATTATTTAAGAATCATCAGACTCCCTGAAAACTATGACCTCTAAAATGACTAGTACACCTATGGTATGTATGATGTATATTTCAGGAAACATAAATGAAAACTGTTCATATCTTTTACAACCAGAAGGTAAAGGGAAAAAGAATTCCTCTGTAAAGAATTCTCCTGAAAGAAACTTCAAAATGAACATTTCCAGGCATGTCATAGCCCAAAACCAGAACGGGGGGGGGGGAGGGGGAAGTATCAAGGAAATAGCCAGGATCACTCAAGAACTGGCAGCAATCACTGTAATGGACAGAAATCCTTGGAACAACTAATTCCAAAAGACAAAAGGTAAAAGTTTACAATCAAGAATTAACTGCCTTAAAGACAGTATAATCCTATAAGGGAAAAATGGATCTTTCATCATCATAAAAATACCAGAGCTGAGTAGGAACTTGGAAATAACACAGGAGTCAAAAGAAACCTAGAAAGGTTTATAGCAAATGAAAGAGGCTAAATGTTGATAAGAACGCTTATATTCTAAGAAGGGAAGGAGAAACATGCATTCCTTCAGAATCTTAATTACCAAGGCTCATTAAATACAGCAAACAAGGGTCTGGGGGTAGATCTCCATTTTGATAAAACAGGATTTCTTAACCATTTTATGAGTTATGGACTCTTTGACAATCTGGTAAAGCCTATGGACTCCTTCTAAGAATAATATCTTTAAATGCATAACATGAAATACATGAGATTATAACCAATTGTACTGAAATAAACCTATGGGAGAGGGGGGAAATTGAGGGGCTGATCAGAGGGAGATTACAGGGATCTCTTTGTTGGTGCTGAGGCAGGATTCTCTTGCTTTGCCTGTGCTTGGATCTGGGTCACAGTTCTGGGTGGCAGTCCTGGGGCAAGAAGGAACTCTGGCATGGTGGAGCTTACAGTGGTGATAAAGAGTAAATCCTCCTCCGAGTTCCAAAGCAGAAAAGAGTGCTTGTGGTCACTCATAGACCAGAGCAAAGGCCAGGAAAGGAGTAAACACCTCGCCCCTTATCATACCATCTTGGAAGAACTGAAAATTTACAGGTCCCTAGAGGTATCTCTGAAAAGAGCTGCACAAAACCCCTGAAGCTTGGGACAGTACACCCTCCACACTGGAAGCAGAGCCCTACCTTAACAAAGAGTTAAAAACTCAAGTAATTGGCTGGGAACATGAGCAAACTGTGCAAAAAAAAAAGTCACACCATAGAATCTTTCTTTGGTGACAAAGAAGATCAAATCATACAACCAGAAGAAGACAACAAAGTCAAAGCTCCTACATCCAAAGCCTCCAAAAAAATAGGAATCAGTCCCAGGCCACAGAAGGGCTCAAAGGGGATTGTGAGAAGCAAGTAAGAGAAGCAGAGGAAAAAAACTAGGAAGAGAAATGAGAGTGATGCAAGAAAATCATGAAAAACTAGTCAACAGCTTGCTAAAGGAGACCCAAAAAAATACTGAAGAAAATAACACCTTAAAAAATAGCCTAACCCAAATGACAAAAGAGGTCCAAAAAGCCAATGAGGAGAAGAATTGGCCAAATGGAAAAGGAAATCCAAAAGCTCACTGACGAAAATACTTCTTTAAAAATTAGAATGGAGCAACTGGAAGATAGTGACTTTATGAGAAATCAAGACAGTGTAAAACAAAATAAAAAGAATAAAAAATAGAAGACAATGGGAAATATCTCACTGGAAAAACAACTGACCTAGAAAATGAGTCCAGGAGAGATAATTTAAAAATTATTGGACTATCTGAAAGCCATGATCAAAAAAAAAGCCTAGACATCATCTTTCAAGAAATTATCAAGGAAAACTGCCCTGATATTCTAGAACCAGAGGGCAAAATAGAAATGGAAAGAATCCACCAATCACCTCCTGAAAGAGATCCCCAAAGGAAAACTCCCAGGAATATTCCAGAGTTCCCAGGTCAAGGAGAAAATATTGCAAGCAGCCAGAAAGAAACAATTCATGTATTGTGGAAACACAATCAAGATCACACAAGATGTAACAGCTTCCACATTAAGGGACCAGAGGGCTTGGAATATAATATTCCAGAGGGCAAAGGAGATAGGATTACAGCCAAGAATCACCTACCCCACAAAACTGAGTATAATCCTTCAGGGGAAAAAATGGATATTCAGTGAAATAGAGGACTTTCAAGCATTCTTGATGAAAAAACCAGAGCTGAATAGAAAATTTGACTTTCAAATACAAGACTCAAAAGAAGCATGAAGAGGTGAACAGGAAAGGGAAATCATAAGGGACTTATTAAGGTTGAACTGTTTATATTCCTACATGGAAAGATGATATTTGTAACTCAAGAGACCTTTGTCAATATTAGGATAGTTGGAGGGGGAAAAAATTATAAAAATAGATAGATAGATAGATAGATAGATAGATAGATAGATAGATAGATAGATAGATGGCACAGGATGAGTTGAGAATAAAATTAAGGGGTGAGAGGATTATCCTGAGAGAAGGAGAAAGGGAGAGGTAGAATGGGGTAAATTATCTCACATAAAACAGATAAGAAAAGGCTTTTACAGTGGAGGGGAAATGGGGGAAGGTTAGAGGGAATGAGTGAATCTTATTCTCATTGGATTGGCTTAAGGAGGGAATAACATACACACTCAATTGGGTATGGAAAGCTATCTTACCATACAGGAAAATAGGGGGAATGACAGCAGATTAGAGAAGGGGGTAATCAGAAGCAAACAGTTCTGAGGAGGGACAAGGTCAAAAGAGAGAATAGAATAAATGGGGAGGGGTGGCTAGGATGAAGGGAAGTATAGTTAGTTTTCCACAGTATGACTAGTATGGAAGTGTTTTGCATGATTACACAAGTATGACCAGTATCAAGTTGCTTGCCTTCTCAATGAGGGTGGTTGGGGAGGGAGGGAGAAAATTTGGAACCTAAAGTTTTAAAAACAAATGTTAAAAAATTGTTTTCACATGCAACTGGGAAATAAGATATACAGGTAATGGAGTATAGACATCTACTCTGCCCTACAGGAAAACAAAAGAGGAAGGGGATAGAAGGGAGGGCAGATTAGGGTAAAGAGTATTCAGAATGCACGCTGTCTCAGGTTTGGGGGAGGGATGAGATGGGGAGAAAATGTGGAACTCAAAATCTTGTGGATGTGAATGTTGAAAACTAAAAATAAATTAATGAATCTTAAGAAAAGAAAAGAAAAACCTATCAGAATTTTTTTTTAAGTTCATGAGCCCTCTGAAATCTATCCACAGACCTCTTATGGGTCCGTGGACCCCGGTTTAAGAACCTTTCTTGGGGCAGCTAGGTGGCAAAGTGGATAGAGCACCAGCACTGGAGTCAGGAGGATCTGAGTTCAAATCTGAACGCAGACACATAACGCTCACTGGCTGTGTGACTCTGGGCAAGTCACTTAACCCCAAATGCCACACACAAGAACCCCTCTTCATTTATCTTGCTTTCTTTTGTTTTTGTTTTGGTAACAGCTAATTTGGAAATGTTTTGCATGACTTCACACATATAATTAATATATTGCTTGCCTTATCAACGGGTGAGAGAGTGAGACTGGAGAAAGGGAGAGAATCTGAAAGGCAAAAAAAAAAAGAATGTTAAAAATAATAACAATATATTCTCCTCATCCTCACCCTCACCTCCACCCCCACCCCGACCCCCATCCGCCCCGTCACTTTCCCTCTGCTCTACTTTAGTAACAGCTGCTCCATATTCCCTCTCAGAGGCCAGTGTGTTGCTGCGCATGCTCACTCCGAAACCCCTCTTTTAAACCTGCTAACCACTCCAGCCGCCCGGTGTTCTGCGCTCCGGAAGTACTATTCGAGGCTTCCGGGTGTTGCATGTCTGCCGTGGAGGGTGCGGCAAGATTGGTTAGATCTGAGCTAGAGAAAGTGAGTGCGTCGAGATGTCCCGCGGCTCCAGTGCCGGCTTTGATCGGCACATTACTATTTTCTCCCCAGAGGGTCGCCTGTACCAAGTAGGTGAGTGGGATGGTCCCCGCCGCCAGCGCAGCGGAACTGCCCCGTCATGATGTGGCCTGGAGCCGGCGCCAGCCATGCAGCCGGGCGGCGCGCTTTGGCGCGAGTAGGCCTGGGCGCGACTCGGGCTTCCCCCGGATTCTGGAGCAAGACCCGGGATGTTGAACTCGGTGGTTGAACCTTCCTTGCGCCCTGATTTGAGAGGTGGGCCCGGAACGGGAGAAAGGCCAGGGTCTCTATACCTTTAGGACCATGGTCCATAGGGAGTGCGGCCTTGGGTCCCTGAACTCGGGTGAGGGCAGTAAAGAGGACGGGGAGGAGGTAGGGGGATGGCAAATCTAGGCTGTGCCCCTTAGTGCTCATATAATCCCGGACAAATCATTTACCCTGTCTAAATCTTGGTTATTTAATTTGTAAAATGAACGGGTTGGGCTCGATGGTTTCTAAAGTCCCATGCTGACCAGGTGCAGGGAGAGGTTCGAGGGCCTGCTCGGCCATGAACTACCTGTGTGGCCTTAGGTAAGTTCTCCAGTTGCTCACCTGTGAGGAAAAGTGCCTTGTGAACAGTAAAACACCATATCAGTCCGTTGTTATTGTAGCTATTCCCGTTATCTCTTCATTTACCCTCTTTCGTCCTTTGCTTAAAAGTTCACGTCTTATCCTCCTGGCTGGAAGTGTTCTCTGTATTACATCTATCTCTGGTACTTCACACATCCCGTTTTATATTAGACGTTTTTGCATACTTCTTATCTCCCTTAATAGATGTTATGTTCCTGGATGACAACCCTCTGGGCACCCAGCATTTTGTTGAATGTAGGTGTTCAGTAAATAATTCTTGAATTAAAGTAGAATTATTTTTTTTATCTCTCCTTCCACTAACTCCTGCTCTTGCAGCTTTTCTTACAGCATTCTTATTCTTTTTGTTTGAATAACTATCACTTCCACATCCCCACTCCCGGCTCTCAAAGTACGTGCTTGGGAGTGTGGAAGTCAGAGTGTGAATTGAATGCCACTATAATAATAGCTGTAAAAGTTTTCCCCCACAACATTCCTGTAAGATCTGTGTTTCAATAATTATTCCCATTTTACTAATGAGCCTCAGGCTAAGTAACTTTCATTGTTAAATGGCTAATCGTTAGTGGAACTTATATTTGAGTTTGCTTCTGACTTTTAAGTCCAGTGCTTAGTTAGCTGTACACCATGACTCTCCTGTTAAAAGACAGCCAACAAGAGTGTTATCTGTGACATTGCTTAAAACAAGCCCAAGTGATTGTGTTTTAATTCTCCAACCCTTCCATTAACTTTGAATTGTTCCAGTGGAGGTAGGCAGATATAAACCAATCTATTTTATGAAATACTATTTTGGTAAAAAAGAAACTAACCCTAGTTGTCCAGTATTAATTACATTTTCATGAGTTCCAACAGAAGTTTGCATCATTGTTATAAAGTAAACTCTTGATTTGATCAAGGAAAATATGATGCTAGGAAGGCTTAGTTTCAGTTCTAGACCAGGGTAATTTAGAAACTCCCAGATTTAGAGCTGTAAGTAGCCCTATAGAATAGATCTAGTCCAAAGGTTAAGGTTTTTTGTATTATAGACCTCTTTAGCAATGTGGGCCCTTCTCAGATTAATTTTTTTAAACATGTAAAATGTAATACGTAGGATTACAAAGGAAACAAATTATATTGAAATATAGTTACCAATATTAAAAACAAAACCAGGGGCATGGACTCCCCAGTTAAGAACCCCTTATCTAGTCTAACCCTTTCATTTTACAGATGGGGAGACTGAGTAACTTGTCCTGGGTCACATAGCTATTAAGTGGCAGTATCAGGACCTCATCCTAGGTATCAAGACTACCAGTATACTGCTTTTTTTGCTCTACCAAAGTGACTCCAGAGCAAATTTGTTGCCTCCTACTACTATACTTAGAATGAATTGACCTGTTAAGTTCTCTTCATTTCTAAATTTGGGGTGAGAAAAAAAAATCACTGTATCAGTGATAGCAAAGAAAAAACAATTATTTTGAACTTATATCAACTTGAGTTACATTTTCCAGTTAAATTTTCATTACCTTTTCTAATAGAACCCATTACAGTTTCTAAAAATTTTTCTTTTAATGCTCATCTTAATTAATTGGCAAGCAAAACACTATAGAATTTGCATTTCATAGAACATAAGGGAGATAATTGGTTAATAGGCTACATTCTAACTTTTCGTTTCTGAGTTTGTATAATTTTTCTACCTTATACTTTCTCTTGCTTTGAACATTCAATCCTAAAACTTCTGGTTTGTGCAAAGGAAGAATTATATTTGATATTGTACTTTGCTAGTATATGCAGTTTATTAAGACCCAACTTTGAAGTATAATCTACTGTTCCACTTAGTATAATTGTGTTCAATTGAGATAGCATATCTTCAGCATTTATTAAGTTCTTATTACATGGAGAGCACTGGCCTTGGTATTGTACTAGAGGAGAGAGATTAAGATTAAGACAGGTCTTACCTGTCTTCAAGGTCTTTGCATTCTAATTCACGGTACAGGATGATAAGGATTTCATTGACTAGCTTGAAAGAACTGAAGGAATATATAGGTAGAAAAAATAGAAAGTTCTAGGTCAAGGCAGATTTGTTCTGGATTATTTTACTGACTTAATCCAGCCTTTCAGATTCCTGGTAGACGTTACTAGAGGAAAAGAAAATGAAAATGAAAATAGTTATAGCCAGTGTGATCATTTCTGTCATCATATTCCATCTCCCATTTCTCTTCCTTTGTACTCCCTCCCTGCCTTGCCTTTTGGAACCTATATCTTCCTTCAAAATTCAGCTCAAATGACTTTATACCTAAATGCCTACATAATGCCTTTACTGATTTTCTGTCAGCTATATTCTTTACTCCCCCCCCAAAAAAAAACCCCACTCCTTTGTATTTATTTTGTGTATGTTCTGTACATTCTTATTTATGTGCATATTGTCTTCCTTTATAGAATGTAAGCTTTTTGAAGTTAGGAATTATTATGTCTTATTTTTAATGTCCTCAGGATCTTGTATAGTATCTATCATACAGCAGATGCTTAATAGATATTTTATTAAATAATGAATCAGTTATAAATGACATGATACAATATTGATACAAAATAAATTATATATGATACCTTAAATTATCATGATACAGGCCTTGCTCTCAAGGAGTTTATTCTCTTATTGTGGGAGAAGTAGTATGACTTAAATCTTCAAGTATGATACAGAGTAGATTGTGATAGGAACAAAGGAGAGCCAAAGTTCAATGAAGAATTTAAGGAGGGAAAGACTACTTTCACCAGGGAGAAGGGAAAAGTTTCACAAAAGAGATGAAATGTTGGTTAACAGATGGTAACAGGGAGCAAAAACTATTCCAGCATGGGAAAGTATGTACAAAGGCATAACATAAAGGAGGTCAGAATTAGATAGAATTAGGTTTAAGAAAGGGGACCAAAAAAGGATGTACTTGGTTATAAGAGGTGATCTTAGAGCTGCTTCAGTAGATTGCAAGGGGTTGAAGAGTGAGTGGTGTAGAAATGGAAATAGGTATGTAGAAACCACTCTTTCTGCGATATTTCCATGAAGGACAGGAGAGATGTTAGCTTTCATGGAGAGATGTTAGCTTTCATCTAGTAAGCACTTATTAAGTGCCTATGTGTTAGGTTCAGGGGATTCAGAGAGAAAAAACAAAACTGTTAATAGTCCCTGTCCTTAAGGCGTTTACATTCTATTGGGGGACACAGCTACCCATATAAATGAAATGAGAATTTTGATACTATGTAAAAAGGTGGTAGGTAGAGAGAATAGATAGTCATTTCCTGTCTAGAAGAAGAGGTGATGAGGTACCCTCCACAGATAAAGGACTGATGTGGTGGTTTCAGGTAGTTTGGAGAAGGTAGTCCTTACTGTAACAAACACCTGTCCCTTTCTCCCCCACTTTAGTTTCTCTGTGGTTTTAAAAATTCAATAAAAGATTCGTCTTCATATAGTTTCATAAATACATTGCAACTGTGTCCTACATTTTCCCCCCTGGGAATTTCCCCCGCTGGGAAACCTCCAGCTATAGCCTAGATAATAACTTTTGTCATGTTCTCCCACCCCTCCTCCCAGTTTCACAATCCTAGAGTTTGTAAATCACTCTCTGATTGCACTTCTCCTGGTTCATTGGCAAGTTGTAAGGAATCAAAGTCAGGAGCTGCCTTAATCTCCTCAGTGTCTCTGTTTTAGTAGCTGGCCATACTGTTTCCATGCCTCCTTTGGCAGGTTTCTCTCATATCTTCCACTTCCTTTGGGGCCATAGCCTCTGATCTTCCTCAGTTCCCAAGAAAGAGGTAGGAAGCTTCTTACTAGGCAAGGTGATCTCCTACTTGGAGTTGCCTGTCATAGCATTCCAATGGCATTATTTGGCCCTACATTAGTAGTCTTATGGCTCCATGTCATACGTGCCAGTTCAGCCTGTCCTTTTAAAAATCCTTATTTGGCATGGCAATTTATAACATTCCTTTCACTTTCAGTGCTCGTTATTTTCTCTCAGCCCTCTTTTTCTGTTGCCTGGATATGAGTTTGGGAGGGGTGGGGTGATAGCCCACTGGGACTGGAAGGAAAGAGAAGGTATATAAGGATATTGAGGGGAATTTGAAGTTCACCTCAGATGCCCTTGGTCTGGTAGGAAGCAAAGTCATCTACTGATAATAAAGGGAATGGATATAGAATTGAAGGCTTGGGGAAGGAAGTTTGGAATAGCTGATGGGGGGGGTGATGATAGTCAAGAAGAAAAGCACCAAAGTGAGGGTCAGGTTGAAGTTAGGTGATAAATTTGTGGTGGACCTAGTTAAGACAGCTGCCTAGGGCAGTTTAGGAATAAGAATGGAGGAAGTACAGTCCTGAATCACCTGTACTGGAGCAGTTGGGACGACTCAGAAAAGTTGGCAATGAAAGGGCATTTTAAAAGTATCTGACAAAGACTGAATAGGGAGGAAAATAAGGCTCTCGATCAGAGTTCATAGATTGGGAAAGCATGAAGAAATAAAGTGGTATTCACTGGGACAAAGAACAGGTAGGAAAGGAATGAGAGAGTTGAAAAGATGAGATTGTAATCAGAGTAGGAACAGAATTAAAAAATTTTGAAGGTGCAGTGATTTTAAAATTATAGTGAGGTCTAAGGTTTGATCATCCCAAGTGGCCAAAAGACAAATAATAAGAATTGAGGAATTCAGGATATTTGTGAGGTTAACATGTGGAGCATGAGAGTAGAGGAAGGAATAGGATGGCAAGGAAGACTGAGCTAGGTGTCAAGAACATTGGAGAAATATGAAAGAATGATGAAGAAAGGCACAAGGATTGGAAGAGATGTAACATGAATGTGACATAAAACTGATTTGCTACTCTTAGTAAACCTTAAACATTTGATTTGCCTTCTTAGAAGTTGGAAAGGCTTATCATAACGATGTGATTGACCAAGGTCTCTTAACAATCAGCCATTTGAGTTAATTTTCTCCAAATAAATGTTTTATGGGGGCAGCTAGGTGGTGCACCAGCCCTGGATTCAGGAGGACTTGAGTTCAAATGTGGCCTCAGACACATAACACTTACTAGCTGTGTGACCCTGGACAAGTCACTTAACCCCATTGCGTAGCCAAAAAAGACCCAAAAAACCAAAACAAATAAATGTTTTATGACAAGCAGAAGTATTCAAAATCAATCCATTAACCTTAGAGCTGCCTGTTGGCATTGTAGTAGGTTCTCAGTTCGGGCAGCTATGTGGTGCAGTAGATAAGAGTGCTGAGCCTGGAGTAAGGAAGACTAATTTTCCTGAGATCTAACCCAGCCTCAGACATTCAGTAGCTGTGTGATGCTGGACAAGTCACTTAACTTTGTTTGCCTCAGTTTGTCATCAGGAAAATGAGCTAGAGAAAGAAATGACAAACCAGTGTAGTATATTTGCCAAGAAAACCCGAAATGGGTTCATAAAGAGTCCAACATGACTGAAAAAACTGACAAGGTGCTCAATACATATTTGTTCACTAATTCAAAACTTTATGCAGAATACTATACAAAGATTATTAAGAGGTAGTGTTTGTTTACAAAGCACTTTTAAAAGTGGTGCACCAAATCACCATTTCTCTTCTTCGTTCTTACCTGTTTTCCTCAGTTTTTTCAAAATGCATCTAGCTTTATGTATCAGACCAGATAAAGGCCAGCAGGCAACAATAAGTGCTATTCAATCATTGTTCTTAGAATCTTAGTCATATAGAATGTTAGTAAAGGGCTGCCAAGAGACCTAGTACAACCCTCTCATTCTCATTTACCACCATCAGAGCACTTCGCACTTCAGTGGAAAGCCATTAGCTCAGACCTGTAGAAAGGACCTTCAAAACTGCTCACAGAATCACTGATACAGGGAGTATCCTGATGGAGCATGCTAATGAATAAATGGATAAATTCAGGAAGAATAGAGGTATGGATCTTAGACATAATTCAAATCAGTGGAAGAAAGTTCCACTTTTCTCCCCTATATATAAAGAAAAGGCAAGTAGAGATTATTAAATGACCTACCTTTTGGGGTCTCAGTTCCTTCAGCTGTAATCCAGAGACTTCCGGTGTCTCTTCTGACTATGAGATTCCATTGTATTTGTAATTAGCACTATACTTTTTGCTAAATTTAACTAGCAGGGTAGAAGATAGAAGTGGTGGTAACTATGGTGGAGAGAAAAAGGATAATCATAGTTCTGTGCATTTTTTGGAGGTTAGATATATGGCTGGGCACCCAGTGTGTCCTGATGACAGGTGATGGTGACATACTTAAACCACAGCAATTCACCAAACCTTTATTAAGGGCCTATTGTATACAAAGTGCAGTGCTAGATATGAGGGATAAATAAAATGGCTCCTGCCCTTATGGGTTTACAGTTGGGTAGAAAAGATAAAAGATGCACAAAGAGAACATGGTAAATGCATGAGAGGCACAAAGTGCTGTGATGGTTTGGGGAAGAGAGGAAAAACACTTCCAGCTGAAGTGTCATTAAAAACTTTAGAGAGGAAGTGATATTTGAGGTAGATGTTGAATGATTATAGTCTCAACAGGTGGAGTGAGTATTAGGCATGAACAAAAGTATGGGACAAGGACACTGAAAGGAATTAGGAAATGTGTATAACTGTTCAAAGGGGAATAGTGTGAGATAAGACTGAAAAGGTAGATTAGAGCTTGATTGTAGAGCCTTTGTGAGCAATGGGAAATTTTTCTAGGTTTTTGACTATTAGAGTAAGGGGTTCACATTTATGCATCAGTAATATTGTTCTGGTTTTTAGAAGGAAACAAAATGATATAGGAAACCTAGTTAAGAGGTGAAGGAATAGGAGAGCAGTGTGAATAAAATGGAGGTAAGTTGACAGTACTGAGCAACTCACAGATAATTCAGTTAAATTATATAGATTTTGAAATACTTTTCTCACAGTTACTGTGTGGTAGTCCCAGGTTTTGAATACCAGCTAGAAGGCATCTTCTCTAGCTCAGTTACCTTTTTACAGATGGGGAAACTGGTCCACGGAGGTCAAAGTTACTTCTCTAAAGTGACACAAGAGAATTGAGATTAGAATACAGATTCCTGATTCCTAGTCATGTGTTCTTTCCGTGTATCCCCATAAACCCCTGATAAGGCAGCTACAGGTTAGAGAAGTTTAAGTGACTTGACAATGGTCAGACAGCCATGAAGTGTCAGAGCCTGGGTCTGACTCAAAGTCCAGTGTTCATATTTGTCTGTTGACAGATTTAAGAGAAAAAGCAGGTTTACAGGAGAGCATAGTATGCAGTAACAGAAACGTTGTGCAACCATCAACTGTGATTGATTTAGCTAGTAATACTATGATCCAAGAGAGTTCCAAAAGACTCATGGTAAAAAATGCTTTTCACATCTAGAGAAAGAACTATGGAAGGGGCAGCTAGGTGGCGCAGTGGATAGAGCACCGGCCCTGAATTCAGAAGGACCTGAGTTCAAATCCGCCCTCAGACACATAACACTTACTAGCTGCGTGACCCTGGGCAAGTCACTTAACCCCATTGCCTAGCCAAAAAAAAAAAAAAACAAAAACCGAAAGAACTATGGAGTCTGAATGCAGCTCGAAGCATGCTATTTTCACTTTTTTTTTTTAGTGACTTTTCCCTTTTGTTCTGTTTCTTCTTTCACTACATGATAAATGTGGAAATATGTTTATGTGCAATCATTGGAAATATGTTTATGTCTATACAGTTGCTTGCCCAGGGTAGAAATAGTGCTTAACTTGGAGTTGAGATCTCAGTTCAAATGTATTTATGTATTTGTATTTATGACTTACTATTAGATTAAACTAGTTATATGATCACCAAGTTAAGTTGACCTTCTAATTGGCCCCCTCTTCCTCAAGTCTCTCCCCACTTCATCTTCCACATAGCTACCAAAATGATTGTCTTAAGGCATAGGTCCCCCACCTCCAGGATCAAGTATGAAGTCCTATATTTAGCATGTAAGGCTCTTCACAACCTGGTTTCTTCCTACCTTTCCAGTCTTCTCACATTTTACTCCGCTTCCATGCATTCTGCAGTCCAGCATTACATTCCTATTTATTGTTTCTCACACAGAGTGCCTCTTGTTGACTACCTTGGTTTCTATCAAGATTGAACTCAAATGCTACTTGAGCCCTACCCTTTAAAGTTACCTTACTTCTATTCTATATGTATCTTTCATATATTTATTTACATGTTGCTTGCCTTATACTAGTATGTAAGCTCCTTGAGGGCAGGGGTGTGTGTGTGTGTGTGTGTGTGTGTTTGCATGTTTGCCTCTCTGTATCTTCAGTGCTTAGCACAGTGCCAGCACATAGTAAGCATTTAATTAATGCTTATTGACTTATCATATACAGTCTTAATGTTTTACTTTTGTTTTTATATGCTGTTTGTATTCATTTGAGGATATTATGGTGGATTTTTAAAAACAAATATTTATCGTTTTATTAATCTTTTTATATCACTCTCATTTCTGAGCAAAAACCTTCTTCCCCCCCCCCCCCGAATTGAACTCTCCTTTGTAACAAAAAAGAAAAAGAGAGATAGAGAAAACAGTCTGTACAGTGACATACTATGACAGTGGACACAACATTCTTCCCAACAAATCTTCACACATTTTTATGAATTCATCCTATTTATCATTTCTCACTGTACAATAATACTTCATGTCATCTATACACACACACACACACACATATGTATGTATATATGTATATCAGCCATTCCCCAATTAATAGACACCCATTTTGTTTCCAGTATATTTTTCCCAAAAAATATTTGTTAAATAACCATTTGCACAGGCATTGTCATATGCATTGGGGCTTATGAATATGAATAAGACAGATTACAACTGAATTTGGGCACATAAATAACTCCAATACAGATTAAAACACAAGTCAGTAGAAGAAGAATGAGATAGGGTGGAGTGAGGGAAGCTTTCATGGAAGAGGATTAATATATTAACCATGTCTTGAAGGATTATAGCAGATAAGGGGAGGATGGGTATTCCAGAGACAAAATCAGCAAAGACACAGAAATGGTGAACTAGATCTGGGACAAATTTGGAAAATAGAGGATAGTCTGGCATGAGATAAGGCTGTAAGGAAGTTCAAGTCTTGAATGTCAGACTGATGAGTCTAGTGATATATTGAGTATGCAGTGCAGTATCCAGTCATCTCTCCAAATGATGTTTCCAGCTGAGCCTGGGAAGGTTTTCTTTGCAGACATATTTTTGAGCTGTTCCTCTAAAAAGGGACATAAGTGTATGGGAGGTTTCTGCTTGCCTTGAAGAAAATGTTGTATAGTAAATGAATGAACTAAGATGGATTTTCTGATTATTTTTATGTTTTTAGAATATGCTTTTAAAGCTATTAACCAGGGTGGCCTCACATCAGTAGCTGTCCGAGGGAAAGACTGTGCAGTAATCGTTACACAGAAGAAAGTACCAGTAAGTAATATTCATTCAGTTACTTGGATATATTAGCTGCAAGTATTCAACATGATGTACCTCTATGTATATGACCATGTTTAGCTAACAAAATGCTTACTTTAACACTGCTTTTCTATAAGGTTCTAATTGATCTTTTTATATATGTATATAAAAAGATCAATATATATATATAAACAATTCATTTATTTATTTTTAGTTTTCAGCATTCACTTCCATAAGACTTTGAGTTTTAAATTTTCTCTCCCTTCCCAAGACGGCATGCAATCTGACATGGGCTCTACTTATACATTCGTATTAGCCATATTTACCCATTAGTCACAATATAAAGAAGAATTAGAACTAATGGGAGGAACCATGAGAAAGAACAAAACTAAACAATAAAAGAAAAGGAGAGCAAATAGTATGCTTCCATCTGCATTCAGATTCCAAAGTTCTTTCTCTGGATGTGGATAGCATTTTCCATTGTGAGTCAAAAGGAGTTGTCTTAGATCCTTGCATTGCTGAGAAGAGCCAAGTCAATCAAAGTCAGTCATCCCACAGTGTGGCTCATAACTCTATACAGTGTTCTGGTTCTGCTCATTTCACTGTACATCAGTTCATGTAAGTCTTTCCAAGTTTTTCTGAAGTCCATCTGCTCATCATTTCTTACAGCACAATAGTATTCCATTACATTCATATACCATAACTTATTCAACCATTCCCCAGTTGATGGACATCCCCTCAATTTCCAGTTCTTTGCCACCACAAAAAGAGCTGCTGTAAATATTTTTGTACATGTAGGTCCTTTTCCCATTTTTATGATCTCTTTGGGATACAAACCTAGAAGTGGTATTGCTGGGTCAAAGGGTGTGCACAGTTTCATAGCCCTTTGTGCAGTAGTTTCAAATTGCTCTCCAGAATGGTTGGATCAGTTCACAACTCCACTAACAATGCATTAGTGTTCCAATTTTCCCACATCTCAAACAGTTATCATTTTCCTGTTTTGTCATGTTAGCCAATCTGATAGGTTTGATGTGGTACCTCATATAAGGTTCTAATTGATCATTTTTTAAAATTCCACTATAGTGGAATATATTCCAGTGGATCGTGATCTTTTGAACATATTCCCTCTGACCCCTCCCCAGTAATGCAGATTTCAACCTTTTCATGTCTGTCCATCTTTGTTTGACTCTTGGTCATGTAATCCTGGTTCATCTTAAGCGCTTC